GCTGGAGCCTGTTCCCAATGTGCGCATGCGCAGAGCTGCCAGGAGAAGGGAACAGCTAAGAAACAAGGGCCGACACGGGAGTAAAGGCACAGGTGGACAGTGAATGGCCCCTCCCGTAAGGAATAAAAAGGAGTGATGGGGAGGGGAGTTTGCAGGAGACAATTCATTCAATTCATGAGGGTGAAGATCTGTTCCTGACTTCTTGCCAATTGCTGCTACAGTGTGGCATTTGGAAGATATCAGCCTGGCCACTGTTGTGGTCTGCCAGCAGTCTGCGGACTTGGCAGCGGAGTCGGACAGTGAGGGAGAGGGCTGGAGAGGACAATGGACCAGTCCTGGAGTCAGGGGAAGGCCCAGATGAGGGCTCTGCGCTGGAGGCAGAGATGGAGCCAGGGCCATCTGGGAGCGATGCGCGGACTCCGGAGCATCCAGAGGTGGATAGCAGAGAGGCAGAGGAACAGGAGGAGCCTGTTTCTAGTGCATGCATGTGCAGAGCTGCCAGAAGGCAAGAGCAGCTGAAGCAAAAAGGACGACTCGGGAGTAAGGCCAGAAGATGATTGGCCACTCCCATAAGGCTTAAGAGAGCAGCAACGAGCCGTTGGGTTCTTTGTAGAAAAGCAACGTTGATTCCAGTGCTTCTTGTCAGCGTCTCTTAAACTTTGTGAGGTTTTTGCCAAGAAAAGCCTTTGGCAGATTGCCAAAGGCATCAAAGGTTGGTGATAAGGCCGAAGAATTTTGTTTTAGACTAAGCTGAGAATGAATTAATTCTCAGCTGTTTTAATAAAATAAGTTTGTTCAGGACTGAACTGTGTTTGGTAATCACTACGTGGGCCTCGGTCACAACAGTCACTCGCCAAGCCTGATAACGGTCTGTAGTTGTGAAATCTCATGAAAGACGGTTTGCTGGGACTTTGCTGGAGAGGAATTTCCCTTTAATCTAAATAAAAGATGTTTTATCGGGACAAGGAATCTGCTTCTTGATCTTGGGAGGCCTAGGTGAGAACAACCACCCCAGATCTTGTTTGAGAATTGGGAAAGGCTAGAGATTATCTCTGCATATCCTGGTAGTTATAGATCACCAATGAACAATGAAATGATGCGGCTGGCTTAAATGACAGATTGGATGCGGGAGGGAGCAAATGTCAATTATTTTATTTGTTTTGTCAAAGGCTTCTAACTAGAGCAGCCTATTGTGACCCGTCAGCGGCCTGTGCAGATTGTAGCTGATTCTGACAGCGAGGAGACTGGTGTGGTGCTACGCCAGCAGCCTGTGCAGCTGGCACTCGAATCGGACAATGAGGAGGCTGGAGAAGATGTGGTGCCAGAGGTGGGGATTCAGCCAAGGCCTTCAGAACCTCCAGAAGCTCCTTTAAGTGAAGAGGACAAAGAGGAGGAGCCTCTTCTCAATGCACGGGCGCACAGAGCTGCCAAAAGGTAGGAGTGGCTCCTCAGGAGGAGGTCTCCTCGAGAATAAGGCTTGGGGCTAATTGGCCACTCCCTTAGCCTATTTAAGGAGGAACACCAATTGAAGTAAATTGTAGGGAACAACTTTAGTTCACTCTCCTTCGCATCTGGATTCTCTGTAAATTGCTTCTGGGCTTTCTGCCAACCATAGTAAGATTGTGATTACTTTATCTTTGGTTTCTTGTAGGCTGTTTATTAACAGCCTTTGTTTGGAAAAGACTGAGTTATATTAGCAAATTTAAGTTTTGTACAGGCTTTGTGTGTGCTGTGTTCTTTGGGGTCCGTAGCTGGGGCAGAACACAGCCCATGATAATTAATATGGGAAAGTATGAGGAAACGGTTCAGGTAGAGGACTTCTCTTGACTCCCTGATATCTTTGTTTGAATGTACTCTTTCTGAATGAAGAGTTTAATTTATAAACTTTATAAAAAGGTAGGTATTTTGTTTCTCAACCATAAGATTGTTCATGAAAGGATTATAGGTACAGGAAATCATTTAAGTGTAAGAGAAAAAAGGGAAGAAGCTGGGGCTGGCGTTTAAAAGAGGAATCAGCCTAGAATCCCTACGTCGCCACAAGTGAACTGAATCCAACCTTCCTTAAATTCCATTGACCCTTCTCTAACCCCTAGCACAGTGACGGCAAACCTTTTTGGCACCGAGTGCCCAAACTGGAACGCCATTCGTGCATGCGCGCACCGGAAACCCAAAAACCAGCTGCCCGGTGCACATGCACATGCCAGCCAGCTGGTCTTCGGGTTTCCAGCGCTCCGGCGTACTAGCTGGCCAGCGGGCATGCGCGCACTGAAAACCAAAAGAGCAGCTGGCGACAGCGCACATGCCCACAGGGAGGTTTCTGCGTGCCACCTCTGGCAGGCGTGCCATAGGTTCGCTATCACGGCCCTAGTGTATGCATACCCTTACTAGAGAAGATTCCTGTGGGTAGGCACGAGTAGAAATAAATCAGTTTAATTGGAGCTTCGCGTGTGGACCTGATCTTTCCCACCTAACCTTAACAGATTTATAGCCAACAGATTCATGACGAAGGTTTGCATTTTTATTTTGGATTAACAGGAAGAATTAAACTCTGGTGTGAATTGCAAAGGAAACTCCTTTAAAGAAACCATCTTCAATACAATAAATAAATACTGTAAAACATGTTAAATTCTCCAGTTTGATCTTTTAGAGATAACGTACTTTCACAAAACAGCTACTCATAAGGCCAGAGTCCCCACTATCTTCCATGTCCTGGAGAAACAAATAAATGAACAAACAAATAAATAATAATTTGGATTTGAAACCGTTTTTTAAAAAAGCTTTTCTGATATCAGATCTCCAAGAACGTATTGTAACACAACAGGATCAGCTACACATTTCCTGCAAGTCTAAAAACAGTGTCTTTTAAGGGTCCCATCGAAGAGTTGTAATCAAATCCGATTTAATCTCAATAGTGTTTAACTTAAAAATTAAAAAAAAACATGATTCGAATGTTATGTATGACACAAACGAGAACGAGAGAGAGCGGAAGGCGATTCTCCTCTCATTTTAATTCTCCTTCTTTTAAAGCTCTCCGAACTGCTTTCATCCGATGAACCGAAAGACACACACAAAACTGGCTGAAAGTAACGTGCAAATCCATTAACCATCTTTACCGTGAGCAATGTCTAGATATCCAATCTTGGCTGACAGCTGTATATGGTTAAATCAGAATAATCTAGCGATCGATTCGGCTGTTAGGGAGGCTTACAGGAATCCCCGGAGAAAAGGGGGAAAAAACCCGACTCATCGCCGGTGAAAGATTATCTACCCAAAGAGCGGTGTACACGGCTCCCATCGCTCAGGAATATGAGCTTGAACACGGCCAATTGATACGCAGGATCTTGGACCAAGACGCTCGCGGAAACCGGCCGAGGCAGCACATTCAACTTTTCCAAGACCTGCTGGGGTCTTGAGAGAAGGGGGGAGGGGGGGGGTTTGTTGCTGCAGGCAACTGTTTTGGCTCCTGCTTAAGACAGACTTCAACAGGTCCTGGAGAAAGCAGGTGCCCGGACACACATCTTCTTTCCTGGCAGAGTTGGGAGAAAGCGTGAGACAAGGACTGAATTGCATTCAGTCAACCGCGTTTAGGGAACGGAGATGTCATGAGGAGGCATTTCAGCCCCTCCACCCTATCCCAAAGACTTTTTGGGTGCTAATTTCATTTCCTCAAAAATAAAACAGGTTTTGCTGACTTTTTAAGCTTGACGGCTCCTGGATTGGAGGTGAAAGGCGAAAGGGATGCAGTACGCTCCCTCCCACATGCTGGGGTAGACCAGGTGCCTCGATCGAAAAACACTTTATTTATATCTATTACAAACTACTCTAAAAATACGAGTTTGAGGTATATATATATATATATATGTATATATACCTCTTGATGCTTGATCTTAACTGTGTCTCGTGTGCACACGCCTTTATCACATCGTTTGCAGTTTTCTACCTGTGTTTCCCTGAAAATAAGGCCCTGTCTTATATATTGGTTTTTGCCACACACAAAAAGGCACCAGGTCTTATTTTCGGGGAGGGGGTGTCTCCCACTGACTCACCTCACTTGCATGCGTCGCCCCCCGGTCTCCTTTTCGCTGTCAGAGGCCTTCAGGAACTTCTTCTGCAGTCGGCAAGGCTTTCCCGAAGACCTCTGTAGCCGATATCAGAGCTCTGGATCGATCCGGAGCTCTGTTATCGGCTGCAGAGGCCTTCGGGACAGCCTTGCCAGCTGCAGAAGAAATGGGCCGGCAAGAGAAGTGTCAGGGTGCACGAGGCCTAGCTGCAACTCTCCGAAGGTCAGTAGTTGGGCAGCTCCATCACCCCCATCCTCACCCTAGCTTTAATTTGCACCCTGGAATGGGTGGGGACTTAATTCGGGCTTATTTTGGGGGCAGGGCTTATATTGGGCGCACATGTAAAAATCAAGCTAGGACTTATTTTCAGGGCAGGTCGTATTTTCAGGGAAACATGGTATAAACTCTATGAGCCTCCAGTTGACTAAAACAAACAGCTCAGTTCACCAGAAATAATCCAGAGGGTATCCGATAGAAGCATTGCTATCATTTTTCACGGTCATTCAATTTGGAAAAAGATAAATATTGGAAATGCTTTTCTTCAAGTATTGCAGACAAAGTATAAGGTGAAATATTCTTTGACTGGATCATCGTCATCATCTTTTAACGAACTCATAATCCTTTGCGGGATGGAGTCTGGGCAACTGAACGGAGCTGAGTGTTTACTGGCCAGATGCCCTTCTTGTCGCCAATGAGGAGTTTTGTTCAGCAGATATAAGACTCATTGTGCCCAGAGAGAGAAATATCTGCCTCTACCTAGGATCGAACTCACAGCCTCCTGATCGTGAGGCGAGAGCTCCACCTCTAGGCCAACGCACCACTCCATTCTTTGACTGGATGACAGATTATAATTTACTGGGGGGAAAAAATTCCTTTCCACCTTTATGGCACAAAGGCAGCACTGAGATCTAGAGTTAATAGATTTTCCCCTTTCGTCCTGCACTTAATACTGCATGCATTAAAGAAAAAGATTCCCTTTTTTGATTTGCACTATATCCAGGTATCGCAGCTTGGCTAAAATACAACAGCAAGCAGCAGTGAAAAGGCGATACGCAACAGCGTTTGGGGAGGTTACCAGGCAAGAGCAGCATATTCAATTCTTTGCAAAACCGTTAACTGTTAAATTGTTAATTGGGCGAAAGGCTTATTATCAGCATCTGTTGAAAAGTCTGCTAGCCATGCAGCCCTGGGACTTTGGAAGGTTACGAAGAGCCAGTGGCGAAGAGGAAGATCTGAAGAAGAGGCATCACTTTCAGAGTTGAAAGATCAGCAAGGACAGCCTGGAAAGAAAAGGGGGAAATTATATTATTTCCTGAAAAAGGGAAGATCGGCGAATTAATGTCTTCATTCATCAATGCACATGGTCCTTTTATGCTTTGACTTTTGACTGAAAAGCGTCGGTGGAGATTCTCAGCCATCCAGGTCATGGTTGCCTCAAAGGTGCCCCTCAAAAGGCAACTGGACTTTGCTTTTCCTTGAAGATGTTTCGCTTCTCATCCAAGACGCTTCTTCAGTTCTGACTGAATGATGGGAGGACGGAAGGTTTTATATTCCTGGTTTTATAGTCTGGTCGTTAACACTCTTTCTGAGAGTCATTGAGGCCACTTGGAAGTTTATCTGTGCCTTCAGGGTCACCTGAGTAACGACACCCGTTGTTCTGCCCCAGCTAAGGACCCCAAAGAACACACAGCACACACAAAGTCCGTTCAAACCTTAGTTTACTAAATAAGCCAGTTTTTTACAACAATGGCTGTTAATTAACTGCATTAACAGCCGCCAAAAATTCAAAGAAGAATACTGAAAGCTTACTGTGGTTGGCAGAATGCTCAGAAGCAATTTGCAGGAAGCTGATAAGATAAGCAAGTCAAGACACGAAGGTCTGTGAACGAAGTTGTTCCCTGCAAATTGCTTCAGTCGGTGTTCCTCCTTAAATAGGCTAAGGGAGTGGCCAATTAGCCCCAAGCCTTACTCTCGAGGAGACCTCCTCCTGAGGAGCCACTCCTGCCTTTTGGCAGCTCTGTGCGCCCGTGCATCGAGAAGAGGCTTGTCCTCTTTGTTCTCTTCACTTAAAGGAGCCTCTGGAGGTTCTGAAGGCCCTGGCTGAATCCCCGCCTCTGGCACCACATCTTCTCCAGCCTCCTCACTGTCTGACTCGAGTGCCAGCTGCACAGGCTGCTGGCGCAGCACCACACCAGCCTCCTCGCTGTCTGAATCAGCTACTAGCTGCAGAGGCTGCTGACGGGCCACAACACCTGTTTCACTAGTCAGGTGGCCCTGAGGGTACAGATAAACCTCCAAGTGACCTCAATGACTCTCAGAGGACCAGATAACTGCAAGGAATATAAATCATTCCATCCTCCACCATTCAGTCAGAACTGAAGAAGCTTCTTGGATGAGAAGCAAAACGTCTTCAAGTCCAATTGACTTGACTTCTGAAAAGCCTTTCAACTTTGATCGAGGTTAAACTTCCAAGTTCACTGAAAAAGAGGTTGAACACAGGCTGTGAGCAAGTAAACAGGGGGTTTTTTTTGTTTTTTTTTTAATTTTGTGATTTAGACCTCGTTCTAATGTGCGTGGCCTCGCTGATGCTGAAGGGAGTCTAAAATTTCACTTTGTAATCTAAAAATAATTGTGTGTTAAGAATCCTTATCCGGCTTGGATTAAATTACAAGTTTTATAAGTCTGTGGTTTTAACTGGGCTTCAACTCATGCCCTTTCGTTTTCAAAATAGCATTTTTATTACTTTTTGTTTAAAAAAAAATCTTACTTGAAAATAACACTTTATCCCGTGGCTTGACGCTACCAATTTAAGAGAATGCTTTGTTTGTTTTGTTTTTTATTAAATTTATATACCGCCCTACTCCCGAAGGACTCAGGGCGGTGAACAGGCATAAAATAAAATACATAGATACAAAAGTTAAAAGACATAATTAAAACCAGATTAAATAATTTAGCCCGAGACAATTAAAAATCCCAATAATTTAAAACAGATTAAAATTTCGATTTAAAAGAATTTTAAAACAGGGGAGAAAATTAGGCCAGGCCGGCTTGCTGGAATAGGAGGGTCTTAAGAGCACGGTGGAAAGTGCACAGATCCGGGATCCTCCGTATCTCTGGGGGGAGTTCGTTCCAGATAGTGGGTGCCCCCACAGAGAAGGCCCTCCCCCTGGGGGCCGCCAGTCGATATTGTTTGGCTGACAGCACCCAGAGGAGCCCCTCTCTATGAGAGCGTACCGGCCGGTGGGAGGCTGTTTGTGGTAGTATGCTGCATGAAGAATGCTGCATGAAGTATTACTGGTTCCGACAGGGAGGCTGTGCGTAGAGTGGTGAGGACAGCAAAAAAAGATTATTGGAAGTTCACTTCCTTCTACCCAGGACATGGCGTATAAGTGATTCTTGACCAGGGTCTGCAGGAGTGTCTAGGACGGTGATGGCAAAACTTTTTGGCACTGAGTGCCCAAACCGGAATGTGCGTGCACATGCGTGCGCCAGAAACCCAAAGACCAGCTGGCTGGCGCATGCATGCCTGTTTTTGGGGCATTTTTCGGGCCCTTTTCAGGGACATTTTCAGTCCAGTTTTGACCCGAAAACAGCCAAAAAACAGGCTGGAAAAAGATGTGTTTTTTGGCCAGTTTTCAGGCCGTTTTCTGGCGCTCCAGCACCCAAGAAGATCAGCCAGAAACCAGAACAGCAGCTGGCGACAGCGTGTGTGCCCACAGAGAGGGCTCTGTGTGCCACCTCTGTCACGTGTGCTATAGGTTCGCCATCATGGGTCTAGGACAGTGATGGCTAACCTTTTTTCCATCACGTGCCAGGGGGGCGGGGAAGGTTCATGCGCATGCGTGGCCACACCCATAATTCTATGCGCCCTGCCCATGCATGCGTGACCCCCCTCCTACCCGCTCCTGGCTCAGTAGGCCCGTTTTTCTCTCTCATCTGGATCCAGATCCTCTGTATGCATCTGGGGAGGGCGAAAACAGCCTTCCCCACCTCCTCGGAGGCCCTCCGAAGGCCCGAAATGTCCAAACTTCCGGTTGGACAGGAAGTGATGTTTTTTGCTGTCCCCAGCCTCCCGAGACTCCTAGAGAGTCTTTCTTTTTGGAGGGGCCACGCACGACCCTCTCCGAGCTCTGTTTTCACTGACAGAGGGTTGCAGGAGGCCGTCGTGGCTGAAAACAGGGCACAAGGGGCCACACACGGCTCCCCTGAGCTCCATTTTCACTAGCAGAGGCACCGCAGGCCGGTCCTTTGCTGTTTCCAGGGTGGCCCCACAGGCCAGATCTAAGCACCCCGAAGGCCGAATTCAGCCTGCGGGCCTTGAGTTGACACCCCTGCACTATACCCATCTAACATTTCTGTTCTCTTCTATCGTTATTTGGATTGTTTTCAATGAATTTATTTTGGTTTACAATATTCTTACATAAACAATTATGAATTCTTTCAGGGTTAATGTTCCAATGCAAAACTAATTTCCTAGTGCCAGTTTTAAAGAGATAAATGCTATTTTATTATTTCATTCATTTGGTTTCTATCGTGGTTTTTTTTCCCCCTACCAAGAGGCTACTCAAAGTAAATAATGGAAAAATAATAGAACAGCTGTTGAAACTAAATGCTGCTTATACTGCATTGTTCCCAGCTGTTTTCGTTGCTTTGGTTATGGACTTCTCAAACTGACCAGTCCCTGTTACAAACGGGTAATTTTTCGGAATTCCGTTTACTCAAGCAGAGTTTCTGAATAGTTATGTAAAAAGATGAAAGCGAAGGCTGGAGGGAAAGAAAATCCATGTTAAGGATGGATGTGGAAGAAATATAAAATAAATGTAACTTATAATAAAGTCACAATTCCAAGCATAACTTAGCTGGGAAGAAAACTCCACTGAATCCTCGAATGCTTTATATGGAAAGCGATAGGCATTTTCAGAAACAAGTCAGAACAAAATATTACTGAAAACAAAAACAGCTGCAGTAAGCTTATTTGTGGCACTCTCTTTTAGCCACGTTTGACTATTCTTTGCAGGGTCCTGCAGATGTTATTAAAGGAGACTGCAATCAGATGAAAAATCCAAGCAAAAACACGCACACGCATTGAAGGTTTACAACCCAAATCATTATTATTTTTTTTCTTTCCAACAGTCGAAAAGAGTTTTTATGAATTGCAATCTGCATTTTCACAACATCTCCTGAACTTCTTCCAGGGTTAATTAAAAAAAAAAAAAAATTCAGCAGAGAACCTGACACCGCCAAGCTATGTGCCCGTGATGCTCAAATTACTCCGGCTGGCAAGACGTCAAACATTATTTCCATATTTCTACAACTGAAACTGATCCTTACTTCAGCTGCGGCTAGTGATGTCACCTCCATCAGATTCCCCGCTCGGAAAGCAAACACAGCAGCTGCCAGGACTGGGGGTAAGAAGGGAGAAGAAAAAAGAAAGAAAGAAAAAAAAAGAATGTGCAGCATTTAGACTGGCGGCCATACTAATTAGTTGTTAACGATACTTTTGGTCTAGTTATTCTTGAGCTCCGTTCAATAGTCTTCTGGCTTGGGAAGGGATTGCCGATTTGTGAGAGCCGAACCAAAGCGATGGGAAGGTATCGAAAGAGAGTTTCAACAGCCACCAGGTACGTATAACCTGAGTTTTCTCTAAAGCACATTACAGCATTTGGCTGACAAGTTCTACCCACGCCTTTGCCTATTTGTTTATTGGGTAAGTACCTCTCCCGTGGATTGCCTTGATGCCTGTTATCCCATTACTCCTATTTTGAGGGAAAAGGGAACGGGGGTGGGGTGTGAAGTGGGGGGGAGATAGCAGCTGCAGTCCCACTCTTCCATATAAAAAAGAACTTGCAAGGATTGATTGGCTCGCAATTCATGTTAGGTATGATTTACCCGAAGTAACATCCAAAGGGCTGAGAAGCGAGCGCTTAGCCTTCCTACTGAAGAATAGGAGAACGAAAAATAATTATGAATAAGTTCCCGAATGGATTGGGTGCTAACCGGTATCTCTCTCTAAACTAATACTAAAACAAATAAAATGGCAAAAGCAATAACACTCATCTCAATTGTTTATGCAGAATATTTATTTATCTATCTATTTATCTATCTGTCTATACACACACCAGTGGTGGATTTCGAATTTTTTTACTACCGGTTTTGTGGGTGTGGCTTGGTGGGCGTGACAGGGGAAGGATACTGCAAAATTTCCATTCCCACCCCACTCCAGGGGAAGGATACTACAAAATCCCCATTCCCTCCCCACTCCTGGAGGAAGGATACTGCAAAATCTCCATTCCCTCCCCACTCCTGGGAGAAGGATATTGCAAAATCTCCATTCCCTCTCCACTCCTGGAGGAAGGATACTGCAAAATCTCCATTCCCTCTCCACTCCTGGAAGAAGGATACTGCAAAATCTCCATTCCCTCCCCACTCCTGGGAGAAGGATATTGCAAAATCTCCACTCTCTCTCCACTCCTGTGGGAAGGACATTGCAAAATCTCCATTCCCACCCCACTCCTGTGGGAAGGATACTGCAAAATCCCCTCCCCACTCCTGGGGGAAGGATATTTCATGGACTGGTGGGTGTGGCAGGGGAAGGATACTGTAAAATCTCCATTTCCTCCCCACTCCAGGGGAAGGTTACTGCAAAATCCCCATTTCCTCCCAATCAGCTGGAACTTGGGAAGCAGAGAATAGATGGGGACAGGGCCAGTCGGAGGTGGTATTTGCCGGTTCTCCGAACTACTCAAAATTTCCGTTACCGGTTCTTCAGAAGTGGTCAGAACCTGCTGAAACCCACCTCTGACACACACATACACACACGCCAAATTGGCAAAAATGAACCACTGACTGTGGGGAGGGAGGGAGGAAGGAAGGAAGGAAGGAAGGAAGGAAGGAAGGAAGGAAGGAAGGAAGGAAGGAAGGAAGGGAGAGGAAGGAAGGAAGGAAGGAAAAAGGTGGAGGCAAGGAGGGAGGAAGGAAGGAAGGGAGAGGGAGGGAGGGAGGGAGGCAGAAAGGCAGGAAGGAAGGAAGAGGGAGGAAGGGAGGGAGGGAGGAGGAAGGAAGAACGGAAGGAAAGGGTGGGAGGGAGGAAGGAAGGGGGGGAGGAAGGGGGGGGGGAGGGAAGGGAGGGAGGAAGGAAGGAAGGAAGGAAGGGAAGGAAGAGGAAGGAAGGAAGGAAGGAAGGAAGGAAGGAAGGAAAGACAAATCACTGGTTCATTAATGCTAATTTGGTATGAAGCTGTGCAATAACTTTATCTTTTGGCAAAAGCAGCTGAGATAGTAGAAGTACGTTAATCAACAAACGGCTCATTTTGACTCTACCGAAATTACAGAGTTCCTGCAAACCAAGCCATCATGGTTTTAATTGCAGAAAGTCTGCTTAATCACAATGATAGGCTCCCGGATTCAACTAAGCAGCAATTTCCAGATTTCGGCAGGGGCTAAAGAAAATCCGCCCGCTCAATTAAGCAATTTCTCACATGAGCAAGCTCTTTGCCTTTTTTTGTTCCTGATGGAAATGGCCAGGGCAAAATGTCTCAAAAACTTCTTTTTCTTTCTATTTGATTTCACTCCCCCCCACCCCGCATCCCCTCCCAAAACCCCCCCAGAGTTTTGCCACTGCCTACCAAGGGGACCAATATGGATTTTTTTTTTCCCCCAGGAAGCACACTTTTTATTCATTCTGTACCCAACGCAGGCCTCGAGAAACTTTTTTGTTTTGTTTTGTTTAGAAAAATTTGGAATTTCCTTCTATGGACTGTTAAGTAAGAACTCCCATCCCCTAAACACATTACCAGCCAGGATTTCCAGAGTGTTGTATCCCAAAATTCTGTCCCACAAAAACAGCAGCTGATCGGTAGCCAAGTATCCAGAGAAGGCTCGGACCATCCATTTAAATGATATTCTTAGCCTGCAAAAGAGTGAAAAACACACCGTTTTATTTTATTTTATTTTATTTTACTCTTCTTAGACCCACTGCTTCCGTAGCTTTGCTCTTCGGCTTGCGTGCTTTTATATAGATTTCTCCACCCTACGTTGAAACTTTTAATTCTCTCCCAGTTGTTATAAAAAGCTGTTTCTTCCAACGCTAGAGTTAACTTGATGTATTTGAGTCCCAGCTGGCTAATTCAAGATGTACTTCCTCCCAGCTTTTTAAAACTGACTGGATTATCTCAGTGGTGAAAATCCAATTTTTTTTTTACTACCGGTTCTGTGGGCGTGGCTTGGTGGGCGTGGTGTGGCTTGGTGGGCGTGGCAGGGGAAGGATACTGCAAAATCCCCTCCCCACTCCTGGGGGAAGGATATTTCAAAATCTCCATTCCCTCCCCACTCCTGGAGGAAGGATGTTGCAAAATCCCCATTCCCACCCCACTCCAGGAGAAGGATACTGCAGGGGCAAAATTTCCATTCCCACCTCACTCCTGTGGGAAGGATACTGCAAAATCCCCTCCCCACTCCTGGGGGAAGGATATTTCAAAATCCCCACTCCTGGAGAAGGATACTGCAAAATCCCCACTCCTGGAGAAGGATACTGCAAAATCCCCATTCCCTCCCCACTCCTGGAGGAAGGATACTGCAAAATCTCCATTCCCTCCCCACTCCTGGGGGAAGGATATTTCAAAATCTCCATTCCCACCCCACTCCTGGAGAAGGATACTGCAAAATCCCCATTCCCTCCCCACTCCTGGAGGAAGGATACTGCAAAATCCCCATTCCCTCCCCACTCCTGGAGGAAGGATACTGCAAAATCTCCATTCCCTCCCCACTCCTGGGGGAAGGATATTGCAAAATCTCCATTCCCACCCCACTCCTGGGGGAAGGATGTTGCAAAATCCCCATTCCCACCCCACTCCAGGGGAAGGATACTGCAAAATCCCCATTCCCTCCCCACTCCGGAGGAAGGATACTGCAAAATCTCCATTCCCTCCCCACTCCTGGGGGAAGGATATTGCAAAATCACCATTCCCACCCCACTCCTGGGGGAAGGATGTTGCAAAATCCCCATTCCCTCCCCACTCCTGGGGGAAGGATATTTCAAAATCTCCATTCCCACCCCACTCCTGGGGGAAGGACGTTGCAATATCCCCATTCCCACCCCACTCCAGGGGAAGGACACTGCAAAATCTCCATTCCCACCCCACTCTGGGGCCAGCCAGAGGTGGCATTTGCCAATTCTCTGAACTACTCAAAATTTCCGCTGCCGGTTCTCCAGAACCTGCTGGATTTCACCCCTGGATTATCTCATGCCAAACTAAAGTATTCTAAGCAAAAAAATTCAACCTCAGTTCTAAAGGTAGAACATGTGATACAGGTAGAGAAATAAGAGTAAACGTATCTGTAGGTATTTGGAATGTCACAGAACAAAGAATCAGAGGATTTTCTAGTTCAACCCCCAGATCAAGCAGGAAACCCTCTATCAGGGGTGTCAAACTTGATTTCATTGAAGGCCGCATCAGGGTTGTGTTTGACCTTGGGGGGGGGAGTGGCTGGGGGAGCGTGGGGGAGCGTTGACTCGGCCTTCCATCCTTTCTAAGGTAGGTGAAATGAGGACCCAGTTTGTGCGGGCAATAAGATGACTTTGTATAAAAACATACAAAAGAATGAAGGCTATTGCTTAACGCATTGTAAGCCGCCCTGAGTCTCCGGACAAGGGCGGCATATAAATCAAAATTTAAAAAAAAAAAAAAATTTAGCAGTTTTCTGCAAAATAATTTTTGTATTATTTTCCGTAACATTTTGGAATATAATGTTACAGAGATGACATATTAAGATATCAATAAATGGTCTTGTTTCCAAAATATCTCGGTCTCTGTTAATAGTAATGAATTTCCCAGCATGCCCCTTCCTTCCTTCCTTCCTTCCTTCCTTCCTTCCTTCCTTTCCTTCCTTCCTTCCCTTCCTTCTTTTTCCTTCCCTCTTCATTCTCCTTTCTTCTTCCTTCCCTTCTTCCCTTATTTTTCTTCTCTTCCTTGTTCTCTTTCCAACTTTCCTTCTTTTCGTCTTTCGTCGTTCCTTTTCTCCTTTCCTGTCCCTTCTTGGATGCTCAAATGCAAAGGGGGAAACATTTCTCCTTTTGTTTCGCTTTTAGTTTGTTTTGCTAGCCCACTGCCAGTGAAAACAGAACTCGGGGGGGTGCGAATAGAGGCTCCGGGCCCCGATTTCAGCCACGACGGCATCCTGCAGCCCTCTGTCAACTAAAATAGAACTTGGAGGGGATGCACGTGGCCCTCCCGAGCTCCGTTTTCGCTGGCAGAGTGTTGTGGCTCCGTTACCTGAGCCTGTGTCATCGGCAGGAGAGGACTCCGAGAGTGAAGGAGAGGAGTTGGCAAGGCCTCCCTCTCCAGGACCCTCCTCTCTGGCAATGCCTTCGGTGTCCGCCGAAGGGCAAGAGATAGGGCCGGGGCCAAGCATGTCCACGCAGCCACAGGTGGACAGTGATGAGGGTAATGAGTCTTGGCTGGATCCTCGGCAGCGTCGCAGAGATAAGCGCGCGCAACAGAAGAAAAGGTGTGCCCGAGATTAGGCTGAGTCACTGGACCACACCCCACAGGATATAAAAGGGAGCGTGGTGGCCAGTCAAACCTTGTGACGAACAAAGCTGAAAACTTCCACGCCATTCTGCATTGCCGGACTTTTGCTATAGATTTTGCTGGATTATATTTGGACTTAAGTTACTCTGTAATTATTGAACATTTTACTTTGATGTACCAGAAGCGGAGAGAAGTTATCTCTTCCCTTCGTGAGTAATAAACCCTTGGCAGGCAGCCACTAGGTTGCTGCCAAGTTCCGTTATCATAAGGAAAAGGATTTTGTCGGCTGGTTTGGTTTTTAACTCTTGGACGTCTGTTTGTGTGTGTGCGTGTGGGACGGGGACAGAACACAGAGGCACCACAGGCTGGCCCTTTGCTGTTTCCAGGCTGGCCCCACAGGCCAGATATAAGCACCCTTTGGGCAGGATCTGGCCCCTGGGCCTTGAGTTCGCCACCCCTGCCCTATAACATTCCACACAAATGGTTGCCCAATTTCTTCTTAAAAACCTTCAGTGTTGGAGCCCTCACAACTTCTGCAGCTAACTCGTTCCACTGATTAATTGTTCTCACTGTCAAGAAATTTCTCCTTAGTTGGATCTCTCTTTAATGATCTTCCACCCATTGCTTCTTGTATTTAGGTAAGCTTTATTTTATACCTTTGGACAGATGCCTTAAAGCAGAAATTTTCAGCTTTTTCAGAGATAAGTCCTACCTGGCATTCAAAGATACTTTTTAAGGGCCTTTTTTTAAGCAATATACCGTATTTTTCGGAGTATAAGACATACCTTTTCCCCGCCCTAAAAGGGGGTGAAAATTTGGGTGCGTCTTATACACCGAATTAGCCCCTCCCACCCACTGGCCCCCACCCTTTGGCCTCTGCCTCCCAGCAATTTACCTCCGTGCAGCAAGCAGCAAGAAGGAACAGCCCATTTCAGCTTCAGCACAACCTAATTAGCTGTGAATCTTAAACACTGAATCTAGCCCCTCCCACCCACTGGCCCCCACCCTTTGGCCTCTGCCTCCCAGCAATTTACCTCCTTGCAGCAAGCAGCAACAGCCCATTTCAGCTTCAGCACAGCTTAATTAGCACAAGTTGATTGTCCCTGACTCTCAGCTGTTTCAGGCTGCAGGGATTGCCTATTGCTGCGCGGGCCTCTGCTGTTTGCTGCAAGGAGGTAAATTGCTGGGAGCAGATTTTTTTTTCTTGTGCTAATCAAGCTATGCTGAAAATGAAAGTAAAGCTCGCTGTTTGCTGCAATGAGGCAAAATTGCTGGGAGGCAGAGGCAGATTTCTTTTTCTTGTTTTCCTCACCAAAAAAGGCAGGTGCGTTTTATAATCCGGTGCGTTTTATACTCCGAAAAATACGGTATCCCATATAATACTTTTTTCTTGCAACTTATCCTTAGAGAGGGGGTTTGGTCCATCAGCTTAAAAGTATTAAAGACGCAAAAGCTGCATTGTTTTTGAACAGCATCATTGTGCTAACGCATCACCTTCAGAAGTTTAGACATTTTGTGGTGAATGGGTCCAGTATTGGGACCAGTAAAATCATCACTTGGAAAAAGAGGGTATTCTTGACAGAGACTACAATAAAAGGTTATGATTTTCAAGTTCCAGAAAGGTGCAAAATGTAAACTTTTGGGGTGTTTAGCTAAATGTTTTAAAACGGAAATGATACCATTGCATGGCATGGCGTGGAGAAAATTGGCCAATGTGTCTTACAGAACTAGAATTCAGGTCTTCTCCTGAATTTTTAAAGATGAAAAGAAGGAAAACAAGTCGAGCCAAGTCTATGTGCCTCAAATTAATATATTTACATTTCACTTTAAAGGGCAATACTTACGGCTGCGCTCCAATTTCTCGAAGATGATAGAACAGCTGCGGGAGATGGCTTTGAAGGAGATTCTCGAACAGCAGACATAGTGATACAATCCCCTTTTAAATAAGGAAGGATAAAAAGAAAAAAAAAAAAACCAGACATCTTCAAAGTACATCTCTTACGCTGGTTTTAAAACACTAGAAATATGCAATATACATAAGAGCTTGTTACATTTTTAAAGCATCGATAAGCAAAGACTGTATTCGCATGTTGTAAGAAATCATTTGCAAGCCTGTGACAATAGCAGTTTTGCTGGAGTGCTTAAAATTGTTCTGGCAGGACTTGCTTTGGGTACAGCTACAATAGAACTCAACAAAAGAGCCTTGGTGGTGCAGCAGACTAAAGTGCTGTTAACTAGCACCAGCTGCCTGCAATTAATGCAAGTTCAAATCTCACCAGGCTCAAGGTTGACTCAGCCTTCCATCCTTCCGAGGTAGGTAAAATGAGGACCCGGTTTGTGGGGGCAATAAGCTGACTTTGTATAAAAAAGAACACCGCTTGGGGGGTGGCCGAGAGCCCTACTAAGCAGGTACATACAAAAGTATGAAGGCTATTGCTTAACGCATTGTAAGCCGCCCTGAGTCTCCGAAGAAGGGCGGCATATAAATCGAACCAATAAATAAATAAACAAACAAACAAACAAACAAACAAACAACTTTCGTACAGTGACTGTCTGAAGTTACCAGAGCACTGAAAAAAGGTGACTTCTGAACCATTTTTCACACTTAACGACCAATGCAGCATCCCAAAATTCGGGAGCTGGATTTTTCTTAACAGCCACAGGATTCATTTAACAACAGCAATGATCTCACTTAACAGTGGTGGCAATAAAAGGTTGTAAAATAGGAGGGAATGTCAGGGTTCCAAGTAACACCCCGAACGAAAGAAAACTCCGAGGCTTGAGGTTCCTCAAAGTTCCACTTTATTAGAGATGTCATATTGGCACATCTGGGAAAACCCAAATCTGAAAGCTTTTCCCCACCCCAAAGGAAAGTCCAAGTCCCTGCCCAGCACCCACATGTCCATCACATGCATCATCCCAACTGGAGATGCCTCCCAGTTCCAGCCCTCCAGGTGCAGGGCAAGATGTCCTTGACTCTCTGAGAAAGGAATGTTATTATGACTACGTATCACCCTTGCTCCATACAATTCCCCCTCCCACTTTCCCACAGCACTAAATGTGGCAGGCCTGAAGATCCAATGAAAAAGATGGCTTCCAGGCCTGACAGGAAAACTCACTTAACAACCATCTCACTTAATGGAAATTTAAATTTTGGGCTTAACTGTAGTCGTTAAGTCGAGGATTACCCATACTGCTTTATGTTAGACGGCAAAACTAAAACTCCAGGCTACCTTGGATTTTTTTTTCCTGCATTCCTTCCCAAGCCACTTGATAGGCAAGAGGCAAGGGCAGCTAGAAGAAGAAAGCACTCCAAAGGAGAATTAAAATGAAGATTCTCCATGAGGGAACTTTGGGTGGGTTAACAGCTTCAGTTGGCCTATGGATGGACCACGGATGGCCAAGGACATTTCCATCAAGCGAGTTCTATTTTTATTTTTATTTTAATTATGGGGTGTTTGTTATTCAGGGCATTGCAGTTATGCATTGCAAGCCAACTTACCGAAGAGTGAGAAGAAATGGAGTGAAGTCTGAAGAAGTAACGCACATATATTTCACGAAATATCTGATACAGCTTGGAGGGCTCATTGTACAGAAAGCAAAGAGGAGCAACTGAAGACGTGAAAAACAAACAAACCACGAGTTAGCAAAGGAAAAAATAATAACCTGTCCTGTATAATAATTTTAAAAATTCAGGAAGATGAATTTCAATCGCAATAGCACGTAGACTTATGTACAGCTTCACAGTGCTTTTACAGCCCTCTCTACGCGGTTTACAATACAGAGTCAGCCTATTGCCCCCAACAATCTGGGTCCTCATTTTACCGACCTCGGAAGGATGAAAAGCAGAGTCAACCTTGAGCCAGTGAGATTCGAACTTGCTGGCAGTCAGCAGAAATACTGCCGACTGCAGTACTGCATTCTAACCACTGCGCCACCGCGGCTGAGATATGCTGAAATAAACTATAGTTGTGGAATAATAATGTCTCTTTTCCCTTAATATTCATTCAGATACTGGTTACCAACACTTGGAAGAATTAAGCAACACCACATATAAACCACTGTGTATTACTGGTTACCAATGTCAAAAGAATTGCCGGAAAGCCATAATTTGGGTGAACGGAGAATACCACATCGGTTGTGTTGATCATACTACTTTCAGAAACAGCTGTGTTGTTTTTGTGTGCCGGCAACTACTAAAAAATTGGCAGGTGCATAAACGCTGCTAAGAATAGCACCTCTATGCAAAATTCAGTCTTTTTTTTTTCTCTTCCTTTTTTTTTTTTTCTCAAGCTCAGAAAAAGTCACCCATCTGAGTATATCTTGTTTAGAATCCAATGATTCTTTCATATATAAGGCTACTCCTCTTTTTTTATTTTTGCTGTGCTGATGTAAAATACAGTTTCTCAATTTTGGGGCATCCTAAAAGTTTAGCGTTGTTTCTTTATGTGTGTTTCTTGCAGACAAATTATTTCTGGACATCATCTGAACATGCCTCATTGAAGAAAGAACATGGAATCGTCCATAAAATTAACATTAATGAGTTGGTTAAGTAGGTAAGCATGCAGTGGTGAAATCTAAAATTTGTTACTACCAGTTCTGTGGGCGTGGCTTGGTGGTGGTGGTGGGGTAATGTGACTGGGTGGGCATGGCCAATTTTTTTTAAAAAAACTTTTAAAACCATTTTTTCTATAACCTCTTCGGTGAAAAGGTTGTAAAAAAAATACTTTTAAAAGCCTCTGACGATCCCAGCTGAGTTGCCTGATCGGCAGAGGCTTTTTTTCTTTTAAATGCCTCTGACGATCCAAGCTAAGTTGCCTGATCGTCAGAGGCTTGCAACTCAGCTTGGATCGTCAGAGGCATTTAAAAGAAAAAAAGCCTCTGATGATCGCGCAGCTCAGCTGGGCATGGGGCGGGGGCAGGGACTTTTGCTACCGGTTCTCCGAACCACCCGCCTCCATCGCTACCGGATCAGGCGATCCGGTCTGAACCGGGAGTATTTCACCCCTGTAAGCATGTCAGTCAAACCAATGCCCGTCTGGCATAGTACGTGACAAAATTTGGCCATGCTTGGAGAAATAAGAGTCATGTGAATCCAAAAGTACGGATTTTAAATAAAATTGACTGGAATGACCAGATAATGGCAATGATGGTGCAGTGGTCAGAATGCAGTATTTCAGGCTAATTCTGCCAATTGCTAGCAGTTCGATTCTCACTGGCTCAAGGTTGACTCCGCCTTCCGTCCGAGGTCGTTAAAATGATGAACCAGATTGTTGGGGGCGAGAGGCGGACTCTGTAAACCGCTTAGAGAGGACTGTGAAGCACTGTGAAGCGGTATATAAGTCCGAATGCTATTGCTAATTTTGCTAAATGTTACTCGTTAGGGGTTAGCAACCCATAATGAACGTCGGCATAAAATGAACATGCTTAGCAACCATGTAATTCGCCTAACAACGGTGGCGATTTGCTTAACAATTGTGGCAGGAAAGGTCATAACGTCAGACACAACTCGCGTAACAACCGTCTTACTTAGCGGTGGAAACTCTGCTCCCAATTGAGGTCATAAGTTGAGGACTACCCGTTCCTGCCCTGATGCTTATAAACCAGTGTGACAATGACAAAGGCTGAATTGCTAACCCTTTTCAAAACCTTTCAGCGCATGTGGCCCCGCTTTTGTCAATCACATTAGTGTGAGCCACACAACTTTCTTCAAGGCGTCAAAGGAGACGCACTCCTACACTGCTTAACAAGTATTTCCAATTAACCCCATAGGTGTGTGTCTACAGCCAACTCATTGGCAATCCCTGGAGGAGTACTGTGTGTGTAGGGAGGTCACATGTAGACAATAGGAATTCTCTTTTAAGAGCTGCCACTTTCATGGGACACAGCTGCTTTAAATGGCTTAAAGAAGCTTGGCAATGCGTTGCTGAGCTAATGTGGGATCCAGTGAAGCAAAAGCACTATTAAATATCTCTACATTTGCTTTAAATTAATTACATTAGGCCTCTGTTCAGTCTCCCTTCGTGGATAGTTACTCCTGTTAAGTACACACTCAACTCGGCTCGTAGAAGATTGTTCCTGAGCCTTAACAATTTTGGACTCATATTCTGAAATCATCAATGGCGACAGGAAAGGCATCCGGCCAGTAAAAACTCTGCTAGCTCCATTCAGTTGCCCAGACTCCATCCCGCAACGGATTACGGCAGGGGGTCTCCAAACTTGGCAATTTTAAGGCTTGTGGACTTCAACTCCCAGAATTTCCAAGCCAAGCGTGCTGGTTGGGGGAATTCTGGGTGTTGAAGTCCACAAGTCTAAAAAGTTGCCAAGTTTGGAGACTCCTGGATTAAACGGGTCGTTAAAAGAAGATGATGATTCCGAAACCATCAAGGTATTAAATAAGCATCAACTTTCTATGGAGTTGACCTACCTTAGTGACTTCCCATGCAACTGTCATGCAGAGTTTTTAATTTTAGTGATAGCAGTGACAAGCTACTTACCATACATTGAAAAGCCATGGAAAGGAATGACACCTAAAGAGAGAAAAAAAAAAAATCAAACATATTCCATTTACTGTCCAAAGAGTATGTGTTTTCAGAAATAGGAATTTTTTTAAAAAAAATCTACGGAGATTCTCAGTCATCCAGCTCATGGTTGTCCCAAAGGTACTTTTTTTCTGGGTTTTTTTTTTTTTTTGGAAGATGTTTCACTTCTCATCCAAGAAGCTTCAGAAGAGCTGAAGGAGCTTCTTGGATGAGAAGCGAAACGTCTTCAAAGAAAAACCAGAAAGTCCAGTTGGCTCTTGAAAAAAGCACTTTTGGGAAACTTGGGAGGGGGGCGGATTCCAAATTTTGCGCAAAACACCTCACTCGCAGCATTAAATTCTGCCGCAGTTAAGAGTTAGAATGACAGGCTCAGATGCCATCTGTGGCCCTTTGGCTACACGTGATGGAGATCACGTTGGGGCATTTATTGTGAATGATGTAGGTAGCAATGTATGCAGGGGTGAAATGCTCCCGGCTCGGACCGGATCGCCCGATCCGGTAGCGATGACGGCGGGTGGTTCGGAGAACCAGTAGCAAAAATCCCTGCCTCCGCCCCCCCATGCCCAGCTGATCATCAAAACATTTTGTCTTTGGCTGAAAAAATGCTTTTAAAAGTTAGAGTCGCCTGATCTTCAGAGCCTTTTTTTTTCTTTTAAAAGCAAATAAATAAAGAAAGAAAGAAAATAAAAAGAAAATAAAAGCCTCTGACGATCCGGCAACTCAACTGGGATCGTCAGAGCCTTTTAAAAGCATTTTTACAACCTCTTCGGCCGATCGTCCGAAGCTGAGTTGCCTGATCGTCAGAGGCTTCGGTAGAAAAAATGCTTTTAAAAGGCTCTGACGATCCCATTTGAGTCACCTGATCATCAGAGCCTTTTTTTTCTTTTAAAAGCAAATAAATAAATAAATAAATAAAAGAAAAAGAAAATAAAAGCCTCTGATGATCCGGCAACTCAACTGGGATCGTCACAGCCTTTTAAAAGCATTTTTTACAACCTCTTTGGCCGATCGTCCAAAGCTGGGTTGCCTGATCGTCAGAACCTTCAGTAGAAAAAACGCTTTTAATAGGCTCTGACGATCCCAGCTGAGTTGCCTGATCAAGAGGCTTTTTTTTTTCTTTTAAAAGCAAAAAAAAAATTTTTTTTTGTTAAAAAGAAAACAAAAGCCTCTGACGATCAGGCAACTCAACTGGGATCGTCAGAGCCTTTTAAAAGCATTTTTTTTTACAACCTCTTCAGCCGAAGAGGTTGTACAAAAAATGCTTTTAAAAGTAAAAAGAAAAAGAAAGAAAAAAAGCTGGCCATACCCACCCACTCACATTACCACCACCCCCCACCAAGCCACGCCCACAGAACCGGTAGTAACAAATTTTACATTTCACCACTGAGTGTATCGCTGGCAACTATTTTCCCTGGATGGATTAGAGGGGATTCACTGTGCGCAGCCTAAAGAACGGAACACATTCAAGAACGTGTTGCATTCGATCCTTGTTCTTGCATGGCTAATTAAAGCAGCCACAAAACACAAAGTATTTATGACAAAATACTTCGTCAACAGGCTGAAGGGGGGCATCATGTGCTGCACTAGAGGAAGGTCTATTTCTAGTCAACCTTTAGGAGGCCGTAGTGTAGCGAGATCTTTCTTTCTTGAGACAACCGCCCCCCCCCACCCGCCATCATAACCAGTGTCAAGTTTGCTATTTCTCAGCAAATTACTTCAACGTGCAGTCATCCTAGGCACCAGGAATTTTTGGATGAAAGGGATTATCTAGATCTATTTCAGTTTGGCTTGAAGCCTGGTTTAGAACAGCTTACATAATAATGATAATAAATGTTTGTTTGTTTTTTAAAAAAAGCAGTTGCTCCTTTGTGACAGAAGGAGGAGCAGGAGGAGGAGGAGGAGGAAGGAGAGGAAGGGGAAGGGGGGAGGAAGAGAAAGGGGGAGGAGGAGGAAGAAGAAAAGGAAAAGGAAGAAGAAGAGGAGGAAGAGAAGAGGAGGAGGAAGGGAAGGGAAGGAAGGGGAAGGGGAAGGAGGAAGAGGAAGAGGGGGAAGGGGAAGGGGGAGGAGGAAGAGAAGGGGAGGAGGAAGAGGGGGAAGTGGGAGGAGGATGAGGAGGAAGAAGAAGAGGAAGAGGAAGAAGAGGAGGAGGAGGAGGTAGGGGGAGGAGGAGGAAGAAGAGGAAGAAGAGGAGGAAGAGGAGGAGGAAAGGAGAAGAAGAGGAGAAGGAGGAGAAGGGGAAGAGGAAGAAGAGGAGGAGGAGGTGAAGGAGAGGAGGAGGAGGAGGAGGAAGAGGGGGGAAGGGGAAGGGGGGAGGAGGAGGAGGAAGAGGGGGAAGAGGAAGAAGAAGAGGAGGAGGAGGAAGGGGGAAGGAGGAGGAGGAAGAAGAAGAGGAAGAGGAGGAGAAGAGAAGGAGGAGGTGAAGGAGGAGGAAGAGGAAGAAGGAGAAGGAAAAGGAGGAGGAGGAAGGAGAGGGAGAAGGAGAAGGAGGAGAAGGAGAAGGAGAAGGAGAAGAAGACGAAGGAGGAGAAGGAGAAGGAGAAGGAGAAGGAGAAGGAGAAGGAGAAGGAGAAGGAGAAGAATCAAATAAATGCAGCACCGGTTCTTTAATCTTCTGAGCCTGCTTCTGTATGGCCAAAAAAAACCCCTTGGAATGCTTCAAAGCATAAAAAAAAGTTCTGCCAATTTTTTGAACAGTTGTTCTTTCTTTTCACCCGAAGGACGAAACGCCATTCAAAAGAATCCACTCTTAAAAATGGATGTAGTTCCCCCTGTTCCCACTAGAGGGGGGACTGGTATAACATCCTTACCGTTTGGCGGATAAAACACAGCGTATTGTTCCATTCCAAGCTTTCCTACACACACACGCACAAAAACAGAAATAACACACCGAGAATCAGATAAGGAGCAAGAGAATGCAAGGTTTTCCATATGAAAAACGTAGACACTGCCACAATAACCAGAGGGACAAACTGGAGTGAAATTCAGAGGACAAGAAAATAATAACAAACATAACAAGCTGTAAATCACAGGTAGTCCTTAATTTACGACCACAATTGAGCCCAAAATTTATATTTGTTAAGTCAGGAATTTGTTAAGTGAGATTTGCCCCATTTTTACGACCTTAGCCGCCCCGTTTGTTAAGTAAATCGCTGCAGTTGTTGAATTAGCTACACGGTTTCCCCGTTGACTTTGCTTGGCAAAAGGTGATCACATGACCCCCCCCCGGGATACTGCAACCGTCATAAATGTGAATCATCTGTCAAGCATCCAAGTGTATGCTGCAAGGGTCATACGTGTGAAAAATGATCGTAAGTCGCTTTTTAAAATGTCGTTGTAACATCTGACAGTCACTAAACGAACCGTTGTAAGTGGAGAACTACCTGTAACACTATCCTTAAAGTAATGATCCAGAATGAGGACCAGTAATGGATTAACTTTCTTCCAGCTATTATGCAACATGTATTCTACTTTAATAGCAAGCATTACAACAGCTTAAAAGCTTATTTCAAACAATGATTTTTCCAGAAGAATATTGGGATGTATTAAATCTAATTATCCTGCATACGGGTAAATTTTAAAGAGCCACATCTATTGCAAAGTTCATCAAAAGCGCATTTTTGGTCTTATTTTTCTACTCTGTTTCGAAAGAAAGGTGCATTTGTACATTCTCTGAAATTTTAAAATGATAGAAACGGTACTAAATGTTAGGTAAAGGTAAAGGTTCCCCTCGCACATATGTGCTGGTCGTTCCCGACTCTAGAATTATAGAAATCCAGAATTTTAGAAGAAAAATATGGAAACAATGCAACCCATTTGACTCAAGGAATTTACAAAATATGGGAGAACCTGGTGATTTTGCCAACATCTGAATTTTGATCACACGATCCTGAGAATACTACAAAGGTTGTAAGTGTGAAAAGTGGTCATAAGTCACTTTTTTCAGTGCCGTTATAACTTTGAATGGTCACTATAGGAACTGTTGTAAGTTGAGGACTAACTGTATATTGTAATTGTTTTAGGTATCAACTGAAAGGTATTTCATCTGGATTAATGGCATTTAAACAAGGAACAGCTTCTTCTTATGATACTTTTCAGGTAAAGGGAAAGGAAAAGGTTCCCCTTGCACATATGTGCTAGTCATTCCTGACTCTAGGGGGCGGTGCTCATCTCCGTTTCAAAGCCGAAGAGCCAGCGCTGTACAAAGACATCTCCGTGGTCATGTGGCCGGCATGACTAAATGCCAAAGAAGCACGGAACGCTGTTACCTTCCCACCAAAGGTGGTCCCTATTTTTCTACTTGCATTTTTTACGTGCTTTCGAACTGCTAGGTTGGCAGAAGCTGGGACAAGTAAAGGGAGCTCACCCCGTTACGCGGCATTAGGGATTCGAACCGCTGAACTGCCGACCTTTCGATCGACAAGCTCAGCGTCTTAGCCACCAAGCCACCGCGTCCCTCTAAATGTTACAGAGAGGTAAAAAGGCCCGTTTCATGGAAGAGCAACTGAAAGCAGGAAAATGAGAAATGCACAAATAAGCTACTGCAGAAAATGGGGCTGGGATATACAGGTAGTCCTCGACCTACAACAGTTCGTTTAGTGACCGTTCAAAGTTACAACAGCACTGAAAAAACGACCTGGGACCGTTTTTCAGACTTAAAACTGTAAGAACAACACCCCCCCCCTCCTGGTGGTCTTGTGATCAAAATTTGGAGGCTTGGTAACTGGCTCATATGGCTGCGGGGTCGTGTGATCACTTTCTGTGACCTCCTGCCAAGCAAAGTCAATGGGGGTTCACTTAACAACCGTGCTACCCATTTAACAACTGCAGTGAGGTCACTTAACAAGTATGGCAAGAAAGGCCATCAAATGGGACAAAACTCACTTAGCAAGAGAAATTTTGGGGTCGGTTGTACTCGTGAGTTCGAGAACTGCCTGCCTGCAGAACATTTTTTCCTCAACAGCAATAATTCAGTAAGGCACTGATTTTCCTCAGTTTTCATTTAAAAAAAAAAAAAAAGGAATACAAGTAAATCGGGCTTACTCCCAGAACCCCTGTCAATCTTTTTACTTTGATTGTTGTTTCAGAAGCTGAATTACACAAATCAGGCCTGTCAAACTCAAGGCCCGTTGGCAGATCTGGCCCTGGGCCCACCCTGGAAACAGTGAAGGACTAACCCGCGGTGCCTCTGCCAGTGAAAACGGAGCTCGCGCAGGCCGCATGCGACCCTCTTGAGCTCCATTGTCACTGGCAGAGAGTTGCAGGAGGCTGTCCCAGCTGAAAACGGAGCTCGTGAGGGCTACGCGTGCCCCCTGAGCACTGTTTTCACTGGCAGAGGGTTGCAGGAGGCCGTCCCAGGTGAAAACGAGCTTGTGAGGGCCGCGTGAGCCCCTGAGCTCTGTTTTCACTGGGAGGGTTGCAGGAGGCCATCCCAGGTTAAAACGGAGGTCGCGAGGGCTGCGCGTGTCCCTCCTGAGCTCCGTTTTCTCTGGCAGAGGGTTGCAGGAGGCCGTCCCAGCTGAAAACGGAGCTCATGAGGGCTACGCGTGCCCCCTGAGCTCTGTTTTCACTGGCAGAGGGTTGCAGGAGGCCGTCCCAGGTGAAAACGGAGCTTGCGAGGGCCGCGTGAGCCCCCTGAGCTCTGTTTTCACTGGCAGAGGGTTGCAGGAGGCCATCCAGGTTAAAACGGAGGTCACGAGGGCTGCGCGTGTCCCTCCTGAGCTCCGTTTTCTCTGGCAGAGGGTTGCAGGAGGCGTCCCAGCAGAAAACGGAGCTCGCGAGGGCTGTGCGTGCCCCCTAAAGCTCCGTTTTCACTTGCAGAGGGTTGCAGGAGGCCATCACCGAAAACAGAGCTTGGGAGCTTCTTTTTGCTGGCAGAGTGCTCAGGCCACCACAGGCAGCCCCCAACACGAGTGATGTCATGCTGGCCACACACACCCTGCCCCCCCCTGAGGTCAAACTCAACCCTGATGCAGCCCTCAATGAAATCGAGTTTGACACCCCTGACAGAAGGCCAAAAAAAGGCCGAAACATTTTCCTTCTATAGTGGGACTTACATACTCCACCCTGCCAAAGATATTCATGAGATGCAAAGAAAGTGGTAATTCAATGCATTTGTCGTCATGGACCACAGACGTCAAGGTTTTATATATATATATATATATATATATATATATATATATATATATATGTATGTATGTATGTATGTATGCATGCATGCATGCATGCATGCATAATACATACATACATACATACATATGCCGCCCCTTCTCCGGAAACTCAGGGTGGCTTACAATGCGTTAAGCAATAGCCTTCATACTTTTGTATATTTTATACAAAGTCAGCTTATTGCCCCCACAAACCGGGTCCTCATTTTACCCACCTTAGAAAGGATGGAAGGCTGAGTCCGACCTTGAGCCTGGTGAGAATTGAACTCGCAGTAATTACAGGCAGCTGGATGTTAAATGCTGCCTTAGTAGGAGGCATTAGCCTCCTACGCCACTCAGGTTAAGACCATCAAGTAACATTTATAAAATATTCTGTCTCTTCAACGTCTTTCTTGGCTTGAGCATTTCAAATAAACGTTTCTTTACCTCGAATGAACGACCTGGGTGGGGTAGCACTATTGTACGCAAAGTGTTCCAACACTGAAGTGTCTCGGGAGAAACAAAGCAACACCTGTGGAAAACACAAACACACTTATCAGAAAGTTATCTGTGAAGGATAAGCTCATTTTTAACTGAATTATCGAAAAAAGACATTTCCTGCAAAGGTGAGAGTTTTACTACATGTTAAGGACAAGCAAAATGCTTAGATTAACCCCCTCCAACTGAATGATGGCTCTCGTGTTCCTGGAAAAGCAACAGGTATGCTTCGTCCTATTTGAACTTTTTTTTTTAATCAGTTTATTTATACATTTTCATTTTACACACAAAAGTGCTTGGTGAACAGCGCATTGTCTGGGTCAAGTTGCTTATATAGCAGGGGTGAAATGCTCCCGGTTCGGACCGGATCACCCGATCCGGTAGCAATGGCGGTGGGTGGTTCGGAGAACCGGTAGCAAAAATCCCTGCCCCCCCCCCCACCATGCCCAGCTGAGCCGCACGATCATCAGAGGCTTTTTTTAAAAGCATTTTTTCTACCACCTCTTCCGACGAAAAAATGCTTTTAAAAGTTAAAAAAAAAAAAAGCCTCTGATGATCGCGCGGCTCAGCTGGGATCGTCAGAGGCTTTTCAAAGCATTTTTCTCTGCAACCTCTTGGCCGAAGAGGTGGTAAAAAAAATGCTTTGAAAAGTCTCTGATGATCCCAGCTGAGTTGCCTGATTGTCAGAGAGGCTTTTCAAAGCATTTTTTAAAAAGCCTCTCTGACGAATCCAGCTGAGTTGCCTGATCGGCAGAGAGGCTTTTTCAAAGCATTTTTTCTAATGCTTTGAAAAGTTTAAAAAAAAAAAAAAGTTGGCCACGCCCACCCCCCCACCAAGCCACGCCCACAGAACCGGTAGTAACAAATTTTGCATTTCACCCCGTTATATAGTAATACTTTTCTAACTCCTAATGTCCACCTCTGTCATCCAAACCATTTGTAAAACAAATCCCATTTTTGAAAGTACTCTGTATCTTCCCTTTCTTTTATCTTTAACATCCATCTGTCCGTTTCTGCACAATCTAATTTTTTTTAAAATTACATCTTCTTCTATAGGTGTATTCTCGTTTTTCCAGAACTGTGCAAATACAATTCTTGCTGCTGTCAAAACATGTAGTATTAAATAACACATCCCCTGATAATAAGCCCAATTGGGCTTTTGAGCGCATGCGCTAAAAATAAGCCTCCCCCAAAAATAAGCCCTCCCCGAAAATATTTAAATGCAGAGCTGGAAATCAGGTAAGATGGCAAGAGGAGCCCCATCTTGCTCCACGCGCCCCAAAATAATAAGACCTCCCCGAAAATAAGACCAAGCGCTTATTTCGGGGTTCATAAAAATATAAGACAGGGTCTTATTTTGGGGGAAACATGGCATGTTCCCTTGATGAATATGAGTAAAGATGAAGACACTCAGGAAAGGAAGGAGCCAACAGAAAAAATGGAGGAAAAGACTGAGCCGAAGAACCAGAAAATAAAAGAAGATGGAGATAACAATGAAAATAATAGTGACTGATAAATTAAATCAGGGGGAAAATATATTAAGAGAGTTGAAAAGAGAATTAGAGATACAGGAAGATGCTCTTGAAAGGGAGATAGGGACCTGGGTAGAAAGTGTGGAAATTAGGCAGTGGAAAAGGGTAGAGGTGGGAGAAATACCTAGATTGAATAGCCAAGAAGTAGATACAGACAGAGATAAAGATCCAAGAGAGGAATATGGGAGACAAGTCAAAAAAAAGCATAGCAACTAAATTATTGAAGCGGGCAAGAGACGATGGATAGATGATCTATCTTTTTTGTTGTTGTTCTGATTTGCTTTTCTTTTTCTCTTCTCTTTTAGGTAGGTGACATGACTAGAAGTTAGGTAGGATAGAAAGAAAACGTCTCTTAATAAAGGGTGACATGATTAAAAGCGAGAATAAGAAATAGAAATAAGAGAAAAGGGGGAATATTAGTGTATACACTTTTATATAATAAAATAAAAGCAATAACAAGAGAAAACATGGAATAATTGAATAATGATAGACTTGCAACTTAATATAAATGTGTATTATTATTAGAAATATATAAGTTGGTTAGATGTAATAACTATGATTAATTTTACCAGTTTTATTTGTATTAGAATGTACGACACCCAGGTGCCACACTGGGTGTTCACTCATTGATACATACATATATAAAATAAAATAAAAAACTTGGAAAAATATATATATATATATTCTCTGGTACTATGCCTAACAAAAATATTTCTGTCTTATAATCTATATGCTGTTTCAACATTTTTTCCAACCATGTTCCAACCATTTTTTTCCAGTAATTCTTCCTATTTGGACCTTTTAAGGAGTATTGTAAAAATAACCTCCAGTTTTCTAGTTTTTTTAAGGCAGTGGTAGAGAAAACTGGATCACCACAAAGAGTTATCTCCCAATTTTTCTACGTATAAACTCAGAACCCTATACACACACGACTGCTCCTTTTATTCTGCCGCAGGGAAAAAAAACCATACAAATCTACAGCAAATTCATTTCCACGAGTGATAACTCTAATGTGGGACGTGCTGCAGCTTATCTTTTTATTTTAAACAGAATTTTTCCAACGCCATGACAATGTTTCCCAGTGTAGGGCCTGTGCGGAGAGTACCTTTCCGTTTAATATTTAATATAAACAAAATCCTCTGAAAATTGTATTTGTCAAAGAAAAGCAGAAAGGTCTTGAAAATCCGGTCTGGGCTTCTGATAGAAGACAGAATAATTTTCTGCCCGAGATATGGGCTCACCTTCTTGAATAACTTACTACTTCGCTGGTTAACATTTTTTCAGAGGGCAAAGTCCTTTTATCTTAAATACACACTTTCAGCACTACTTATCAGACCCCGTGCTCCTATCCAAACTCTTAAAATATACCACAGCCAGCAAAGTAGTAATAAACAGGAAAAATTAAAAGCTAGTTTATAAGGACCCACGTCAGCAGAAAGAGGAGAGAAAATTATGGATTCAGACAAGTGTTCAGCTATACAGATTACTCCCTATCTTCCTTCCTTCCCTCCTCCCTCCCTCTTCTTTCCTTTTCTCCTTCCCTATCTTCCTTTCTTTTCCTTTTCTTCCCCCTTCTTGCTTCCTTTCCTCCCTATCTTCCTTCCTCCCTCCCTCCCTTGTCCTTCCTTTTCTCCTTTCCTATCTTCCTTTCTTTTCCTACCTTCCTTTCTTCCCCTTCTTGCTTCCTTTCCTATCTTCCTTCCTTCCACCCTCTTCCTCCCTTTTCTCCTTCCCTACTTTTCCTTCCTTCCTTCCCCCTCTTGCTTCCTTTCCTCCCTATCTTCCTTCCTCCTTCCCTATCTTCCTTTCTTTTCCTTCCTTTTCTTCCCTTCTTGCTTCCTTTCCTCTTCCTTCCTTCCACCCTCTTCCTCCCTTTTCTCCTTCCCTATTTTTCCGTCCTTCCTCCCTCCCTCGTCCTTCCTTTTCTCCTTCCCTATCTTCCTTTCTTTTCCTTCCTTCCCTTCTTGCTTCCTTTCCTATCTTCCTTCCTTCCACCCTCTTTCCTCCCTTTTCTCCTTCCCTACTTTTCCTTCCTTCCTTCCCCTCCTTCCTTCCTTTCCTCCCTATCTTCCTTTCTTCTTCCTCCCTCCTCTTCCTTCCTTTTCTCCTTCCCTATCTTCCTTTCTTATCCTTCCTTCTTTTCTTCCCCTTCTTGCTTCCTTCCCCTCTTCCTCCCTTTTTTCCTTTCCTTCCTTCCTTCCTTCCTTCCTTCCTTCCTTCCTTCCCGTGTCAAGTGCAATTTAACAACTGCAGTGATTCACTTAACAAACGTGGCAAGAAAAGTCGTAAAACGGGACAAAACTCACTTAACAAATTTCTCACTCAGCAACACAAATTCTGGGCTCAATTGTGGTTGTAAGTCGAGGACTGCCTGGATTACCCTTAGTTTGGCAGAGATTCTATCCACTAAGTGTAAGCAAATAAAAGACTGGAGTCCACTGCCTTTCAGTGTGTCTTTGGCCTTGAGCCTGACATATGCAGACACGGGAGCAGACTCCATGAAATTATACGCAAATGGAAACGTTCTGTCCTCTTCGTGCTTATCCAACAGTTATTGATATATCCAAATTAGTCATTATAAAGAGTCCCAAAGAAATGAACATCTGACGGGATATCCTTATCACTCGGAAGCAGAATTTGGCAATTAAGTAGGCAACCTGAGGATTTGCGTCTGCTCTAAGTGACTCTGTTCGACCAGACAAATTCTTTTCAGAAATGGTTGAAATAGCTTTTGTCGGAGATTTAAAAAAAAAAAAAAAAGAACACAGGAAACAACGTTCCGCCTTCAATTCTGCCTGAACTGCACGGTTATTAACTCTGTGATAATGAGAACTGTATTAAATCCAACCTCCAAGACTCCCGATGGTAGAAAATTAAAGCGAATTCACACAAAGGGAGCCTGGATGATTTCTAGTCCAGCACCCTTGCTCGGGTCGGAGATCCTGTACCATTCAAGTTGACTGTCCGATCTCTTCTTAAAAACCACCAGTGATGGGGCAACCATAATTTCTGGAGGCAAACCGGGCCACTGTTTTACACCATTGCTCTCTGTGTCAGGAAATTTCTCCTAGGTTGCTTCTCTCCTTGACTGGTTTCCATCCATTGCTTCTTGTTCTGCCTTCAGGTGCTTTGGAAAATAAACTGACCCCCTCGTCTATACCAATATTTGAGGCAGCCCCTCAGATATTGGACCGCTGCTATCCTCTCACCCCTAGTCATTTTTTAAAATTGAGAATAGAACAAAATAGAGTAGAGTAGAGTAGAGTAGAGTAGAGTAGAGTAGAGTAGAGTAGAGTAGAGTGGAATATTGGAAAGAATAGAATAGAGTAGAGTAGAGTAGAGTAGAGTAGAGTAGAGTAGAGTAGAGTAGAGTAGAGTAGAGTAGAATAGAATAGAATAGAATAGAATAGAATAGAATAGAATAGAATAGAATAACAGAGTTGGAAGAGACCTTGGAGGTCTTCTAGTCCACCCCCCTGCTTAGGCAGGAAACCCTACACCACTTCAGACAAATGGTTATCCAACATCTTCTTAAAAACTTCCAGCGTTGGAGCATTCACAACTTCTGCAGGCAAGTTGTTCCATTGATTAAATGTTCCAACTGTCAGGAAATTTCTCCTTAGTTCTAGGTTGCTTCTCTCCTTGATGAGTTTCCACCCATTGCTTCTTCTCCTGCCTTCAGGTGCTTTGGAGAATAGCTTGACTCCCTCTTCTTTGTGGCAGCCTCTGAGATATTGGAAGACCCCTAGTCCTCCTTTTCATTAGTTCCTGCAACCGTTCTTTATATGTTTTAGCCTCTGGTCCCCTAATCATCTTTGTTGCTCTCCTCTGCACTCTTTCTAGAGTCCCAACGTCTTTTTTTCCATTGGGTTTCCTATCCGCTGGTTCTCTTAAGATGATTTGAAAGGTGCATTTGGTGTCAATTTCAACTATCCGTTCCCTTGCAAAGATTACCCAGCTGTCTAGCTATGAACATCAAGGTCTGTTTCACCTGAAAGGCCACCTACAAACATAAAATGCTGGCTAGAAACGATGCAGAAGAGAACACTGACTTCAACTCTGTAGCATGCCTAGCTTGGCATATGTACAGTATGCGATCCTGGTGTTTTACAGCTTGGGTAATGCAGCTTTCTTCTATTTCAATAAATAGATGTTTTAGTTTATTGCTCTTAAGGCTGTAGTTTTACCGTGCTTCCCCAAAAATAAGACCGGGTCTTATATTAATTTTTGTTCTAAAAGACGCATTAGGGCTTATTTTCTGGTTAGGTCTTATTTTGGGGGAAATACTGTACTAAATGCATCCATCTGGCTGACAATCTTAATTTGGGTTTATTTTGGGGGTAGGGCTTATATTACGAGCATCCTGAAAAATCATGCTAGGGCTTATTTTCTGGTTATGTCTTATTTTGGGGGAAATACGGTACTAACTGCACCAATCTGGCTGACAATCTTAACTGGGGCTTATTTTGGGGGGTAGGGCTTATATTATCTAATTTTAGGTTCTATTTAATTGGGCCAAACTATGTTATAATAATAATTTTAATTAGCAATTTTATGATATTTGTGTATCTATATTTTTCTTGACTGTACACTGCCTTGAGTCCTACGGGAGAAAGGCGGTATAGAAATATAATAATAAATAAATAAATAAAATTACGAGCATCCTGAAAAATCATGCTAGGACTTATTTTCCGGTTGGGTCTTATTTTCGGGAAAAACAGGGTAGTTAGATGGCATCTTCAATATCACAAGCTTTTATTTTGCAAGCTTTCTTCATCGCAAGGCAATCGGACAAATATCTTAATGATGATTTAGAGAGCATTAGTTTTTTGCCTGTACTTTATTCTCAGAATATACAGAATTCTAAGCTAAGGAATGCTTGTTTGATGCAACTACGAAGGGAAAAAAAAAGGACACTTCCAACAGCTTTGACTAATTGAGTTGAACTTATCGTGAAAATGAGGTTCTAACCCCATGACATTTATACTGACATTATAATCAAATGTATGTTAGCAAATTTGCAAATGTAATAAACCTTCATTAAGAGAGATTTAAAAGAAGCGACACAGACAATTACAAACACAGACACAGCTTCATTTTTAATAGAAACAAAGGTCATATATTGTGGATGCATAAATTATGGGTGCCTTTCCAAGGGTCATAGTAAATTCTATTATATATATATATACTATAGCTTACTTCTTTTATATATGCCAAAGACCGGGCACAACAAATATCGTTGGTTCCTTTTATCTTTAAATCATCTTTGAATGTTTAAAACTTGTATTCTTGATGCCCTTTCCAGAAGAACTCCTAAAAGGATCCAAATTTCTCATGAATGCCACATTTTCTCCAAAACCTCTGGCCAGTGGTGGGCTGCTGGGGGTTTGCAGAGGTTCGGGAGAACCTCTAGCTAAGATTCTGTGCAGTTCGGAGAACCTCCAAATCCCACTCCTGGTTGGCCCCGCCCTACCCCTCCCAGGAGTCCCCATGCGGCCCGTTTTGAATACAGGTAAACGCAGGGCGCGTGCAGAGGCTTGGGGAGGGCGAAAAATGGGCTTACCGGAAGTTCTGAAGGGCCAGAAATGGGCCCGTTTCTGGCCTCCAGAGGGCCTCCGGAGCCTGGGGAGGCCATTTTCGCCCTCCCGGAGGCTCGACAAAAGCCTCAGGAGCCAGGGGAGGGCAAAAACGCCCCCCAGCCGTGGTGCAGGAGGCCGACTAGGCCACGCCCACCATGGTCATGCCCACTCAGCAACCGGGCAGAAAACCCCTTGCTAAAATTTTTGAAGCCCACCCCTGCCCATGGCCACTGCCGATTAATCTCCGTTGCAAACAAAAGCAATGCTTAGAACAACTGTAGCTATAATGCTTCACATTTATTTAATTTAAGAAAATTTGTAGGGTGCACCCAGCTCACTCTCAGTGACTCAGGGCAGCTTATAAGGGGGGGGGGGGAGAACCCAATATAAAAACAATTTGAAAATATATACCAATAGATAAAAATATATAGAGATAGATAGATAGATAGATAGATAGATAGATAGATAGATAGATAGATAGATAGATAGATACCGTGTTTCCCCGAAAATAAGACCCTGTCTTATATTTTTTTGAACCCCGAAATAAGCACTTGCCCTTATTTTAAGGGAGGTCTTATTATTTTGGAGCGTGTGGAGCAAAACGGGGATCCTCTTGCCGTCTGATTTCCAGCTCTGTTTCCCTAACCCTAACCAGAGGAAATGGTGGGGACCGGCTGCGTATGTGGTTTAATATTTCTGGGGAGGGCTTATTTTCAGGGAGGGCTTATTTTAGCCCATGCGCTCAAAAGCCCAATTGGGCTTATTATCTGGGAGGTCTTATTTTACGGGAAACAGGGTAACCCTCTGTTATTGTCCCCTTTGGCGACAACAATCAAGCGAGCCATTTGATGGGCTCCATCCCACTGTGGGGTCCCCAGGCTCTTGGCAAACCAGGTCTTCAGGGAGCAAGTAGGGGCCAATCTTATGTCTGCAGTGATGATGATCTACAGCAAAGGTCCCCAACCCCCGTCCCACTACTGGGCCTTGGCCCGTTCGGAACAGGGCTGTTGGAAGTGGTATGCGAATGTGTGCGCCCCACAAAATATAAATGGAATTTACTCTTGTGTAGATACACACAGCAACGCACTGTAGCTCTACTTAAGAGCAGCTGTTGCATTACAAGTTTTATTTGATCTACAAAGTAAACAGAATAAACTCTACCCTGGCCCAAATGTCCTTCTTCCAATGACGAATGATTTGCCATTTGCTCCACGTAAATACTTACCTGATATAAATAATCCTCAAACACAAAGTAGTAGTCATCATTGCTGGCTGTCAATTTCACATCCTGAAATAAATAAATAAATAAATCAGTAACAGACAACTTTCTGAAGCTGAGCCACATCTTTTCCACGTGGGCACCTCTCACACCGTACACGATATAACAAGACGCAGCACTATCGTCATCTAATGGCGTTAACAACAGTTCTGGCGCTACTCCTATATCAAGCTCAGTCTTTCGTCAACTTCTAATTTTCAAATGCAATGAAAAGTTCCCTTAGAATCGTTGATCTATAATGAAAGAAACAGAATGACAGAGTTGGAAAGGACCTTGGAGGTCTTTTAGTCCAACCCCCTGCTCAAACAGGAAGCCCTACATCATTTCAGACAAACGGTTGTCCAATCTCGTCTTAAATACCTCCAGTAATGGAGCACCCACAACTTCTGAAGGCAAAAGCGGTTCCACTGATTAGTTGTTTTCGCTGTCAGAAATTTTCTCCTTATTTCTAGCTTGGTTCTCTCTTTGATTATTTTCCACCCTTGGCTTCTTATCTTGCCTTTAGGTGCTTTGGAAAATAGCTTGATCCCCTCTTCTTTGTGGCAGCCCCTGAGATATTGGAACACTACTAGCAAAACACTGTGAGATCCAAAAATGGGCATTTCTCAAATCTCCATTTATTCCGGCGGTTTATTATTTAACTCCCATGTGACTCCTCTCCTGCGCGAGCTGCATTGGCTTCCGGTGGACTTCCGGGTGTGCTTCAAGGTGTTGGTGATCACCTTTAAAGCGCTCCATGGCTTAGGGCCAGGGTACTTACGGGACCGCCTTCTGCCACCAATAGCCTCCCACCGGCCAGTTTGCTCCCACAGAGAGGGCCTCCTCAGGGTGCCGTCGGCTAGACAATGCTGGCTGGCGACCCCCAGGAGGAGAGCCTTCTCTGTGGTGGCACCTACCCTTTGGAACAATCTAGCCCTAAAAACTCATCTCTTTCAGTTAGCCGGTCTCTCTTGATTTTATGATTTTATGGTTGGTTTTAAATTTTGATATGGATTTTAAATTGATAAATTTTAAACTATGGGCCAAATTTAATTATTTTAAATCTATTTTTAATCGTACTTTATGTATAAATGTTTTTATTTTGGCTGTCCACCGCCCTGAGTCCGAAAGGAGAAGGGCGGTATAGAAATTCGAATAATAAATAAATAAATAAATAAACTAGTTAGCAGTCCAAACTAAGAGGGTTTTTCCCCCCATTTATTCAAGAAATGAAATGGCTTCCGATCACGTTTTTGAATCCCCGCGATTGTGTTTGGCCAGACTGAGATATGCCACATTCCAAAGGATTCTAACTGCAAAAATGGGAATTCCGATAGCAAGAGTCACGCTGATTTTGATTCCTGTTAGTACTTCTACATAAACACCACATTCAAAAGATATATTATGGCGATCATAGCAGAACCATAGAGATTTTCGCTCCTTACTAGCCAGAAATTCAAGGCCCTTGGATTTGTTTGCTATCTGCTATCTTGCAAGCAGAACACAATTAATAAGGTTAGCCATTATAAAAGACATTAAGCCCAGTCAAAACAAACATTCCTTTTCACTACATAAAGCCTAGAGGCTGAGTAACGCATTAATTACTGACCACAGAAATGTGCAATTCAAAAATTACTCACTTTATAAATCAGACTGTCCACCAAAAGATTGTACTGGATCACGTTAGACTTCAGTTGTTCATAGTACAAGATATCCTAAAATGAAATAATAATAATGATGATGATGATGATGATGCTGTGAAAGCGAAGATACAAAAATCCACTGACAATCCAAACTGGCGACTTTGCAACGACAAAGTCGAAACTGTTTCACACTTAATATGCGAGTGCAGCAAAATCGCACAAACAGATTACAAAGCTAGACACGACCGAGTTGCTAAATTAGTCCACTGGTCATTATGTAAAAAATACCTGTAACATGGAGCACAAAGTGGAAAAAGTTATCGAAAATGAGACAGTGAAGATCTTGTGGGACTTTCGAGTACAGATGGATTGTCATTTGGAACACAATACGCCAGATATCACAGTTGTCGAAAACCAAAACGTACAATTTATTGACATTGCGGTACCAGGAAATGCCAGAGTCAAAGAAAAAGAACTGGAAAAAAATCATGAAATATTGCAACCTGGCCATCGAAACTACACAATTATGGATGAAACATGTAACTGTGATACCCATTGTCATCAGGGCACTTGGTACTATGTCCAAGAATTTTATAAGGTACATCAACAAATTGCAGCTTCCTGCAATAATACCAGCAGAACTGCAAAAAACTACGCTACTTGGAACATCGTACATCTTAAGAAGGTACTTGGTTGATACCTAGGACGCTGGCAGCAACCTGTATCAATCATTAGGACCAGTCAATGGTATTTGTGATGCATTTTTGAATGTTCAGTTGACTGAATTTCATGTTTGATGAATAAAGTATATAATAATAGTAATAGCAGTAGTAGTAGTAAAGAGTCAAAGAAAAAGAACTGGAAAAAATCATGAAATATCGCAACCTGGCCATCGAAACTATGCGATTATGGATGAAATGTGTGACAGTGATACCCATTGTCATCGGGGCACTTGGTACCATGTCCAAGAATTTTACAAAATACATCAAGAAATTGCAGCTTCCTGCAATAACACCAGCGGAACTGCAAAAAACTGCTCTTGTAAACCTAGGAAGAATTTCATTATTCATTATTATCCTGATACGAAGAAATGGATTACTACTAGGAACATCATACATTTTAAGAAGATACTTGGTTGATACCTAGGATGCTGGCAGCAACCCATATCAACCATCAGCGCCAGTCAATAATATTTGTGATACATTTTTAAATGTTCAGTTGACTGATTTTCATGTTTAATGAATAAAAGATAATAGTAATATATAATTGTAATTACATTCGAATTAATGCAATCAAGGCCAGAATTGTAAAACAAAACATCAAATGTTTCTAAGTGCAGATTGTGCAAAGTGGCAGAAGAAAACAGTAAATTATATACTCTACTCATGCAAAAAAAAAAAAAAAAAAAAAACCTGCACAAACTGAGTACACACAATAACACAGTTGCCAAAAAGTTTCATTGGAGCATCTGTAAAACTTATCATGTGCTGGGAATGAAAAATTGGTGGAAACACAGAATTGAAAAAGTAATTGAAAACAAACAGTTTAAAATATTGCGGGTTATCCGAGCATAGATTGGTAAAGTCTTGGTTCACAATAAATAAGATTTAACTATGGTTGAAAAGGGGGGGAAAAAGTATGGATAATTGATGCTGCAATACCAGAGGGTAGTACAGGATGAAAAAATTGACAAAGATGACAAACTATTAAGATCTGAAAATTGAAATAGAAAGATGATGGTATAAAGCAGCCATACCAAAATAGTAGTGCCATACCAAAAAATCTTGGATGGCGTTTAGAAAAATCTGCACATGGACAAAATTTCTACCTGTTAATTACAAAACACTACACCAGTGATGGCTAACCTTTTTGCCATCGCGTGCCAGGAGGGGGTGGGTGGGGGAGGTTTGCGCGTGCGCATGCCCACACCCATAATTCTATGTGACCCACCCTGTGCATGGGCATGCGACCCCCCCCCCCCCTCCCACTCCCGGCACGTGATGGCCCGGTAGGCCCGTTTTTCTTTCCCACCTGGCTCCAGATCCCCTCTATGCATCTGGGGAGGGCGAAAACAGCCTTCCCCACCCCTCTGGAGGCCCGAAACGGCCTGTTTCCCAACTTCCGGTTTGACAGGAAGTGACTTTTTTGCTGTCCCCAGCCTCCAGAGCCTCTCTAGGAGGGACAGCAAAAAACATTTTCGCCCTTCCCAAATGCAGAGGGGATCTGAAGCCAGGTGAGAAAGAAAAACGGGCCTTTCCCCCCCCCCCGGCCCTCTGGAGGCAGGAAACAGCCGGTTTCCCTAATTCTGGTGGGCCCAGAAGGCCCAAAAATCAGCTGGTCGACACGCGCATGCGTGCTGGAGCTGAGCTGGCATGCCCACTGATATGGCTATGCGTGCCACCTGTGGCACACGTGCCATAGGTTCACCATCACAGCACTATACTATTTGGATCCACGCATATACTACATTTATACCAGTGTTTCCCAAACTTTTGACATATGTGTACCCCTTCTATAATTTTCGTAACGCTGAGTACCCCTCATAAAAAACATATGGTACCCCTGAGGGTACGCGTACCACACTTTGGGAAACACTTAGATAACACTGCAATTCTCCGGCGTTTAAACAGCTCCGCGGCTCAACGTCAACTGTTAATGTTCCCGCATTAAAAATGGCCAAACCCGAGCTGCGCGAAGGATGCGCAGAAGTTCCCGCCATAATGAGTTGCGATACGATGTACGATGGCCCCAGTTCCCGTGTAAAAACTGCGATACGCGCCTATTTCTTCCCTTGTTCTGTGGGCGCAGCTAAGCACGGTGCAGTGGATATTCCCACGTGATCCCCACCAAACTCCGGTGCAATGCGTACCCCCACCAAACTCTTCCCGTACCCCTGGGGGTACGCGTACCACACTTTGGGAAACACTGATTTATACATCACAACATCAAGAATTTGATGCGTATGAAGACCTATACCAGCTAAAGAAGTGCCACCTCTGATTTTAAACAACTGTGAATAGATAATACTAAAATCAACAAATGTGATTGGAAACCACAGTTTAAAAATCTGCTAGTTTTACTTTGTTGTGAAACTGCCTGAATAAAAAGGGTTTATATTTACCTTTGCTGTGAATGAATTTAATTGAGTGCCTGTTTGATATGGTATATATTAGGGTTTTCGGCTGTAATAATGGTCTCAGTGTTTTTAAATATTATTGTTCTAAAGTTCTTATATAACCAGCTCTGATTATAGTGGAAAGGCAGAACTGAATTTCTTACGTAAATAAATGAGTTCCAAAAATAAAGAATGGAACTAGGAAAAAATTCATTCAGGATATCCGAATATAATCTCAGAAACTTTGTTAGATATTCATCATCAAAACAAATGGAACATATTTTATATCCAAACAAGGAATAATAAATATTTTAAGACAAGGAAATATAAGATTCATTTCCATAGGTATTTATGTTCTATTATTCAAACAGAAACTTTTATCAAAAGTGGACTTGAAAAATAATTAAGGGACATTTGTAAGGTATAATTTCATTTTAAAAAAACCAAATACAAACAAGGACAAAAAAATATAGTAGAAGTTATAAATGTTTTAAAAATTATATATGTTATAGTGATTATAGTGATTAAATGCAACAGAAGAGGGGTGGGAAAGAACTTTTTAAAAAAATCCATGGGCATTAATTAATTCAAATTTTTGTCTCGAACATGTAACACATATTACTTCAGCTCATGTTCACAGCCCTTAGGCAGAATAGACCAAATCCATTTCTTCGTATCAGGAGAATAATGAAATTCTTCCTAGGTTTACAAATTGAATTTCTCTGCCTTCTGAAAATACTGCATCAGGATTCAACAATTTCAGAAGATAAGTTAATTATTTGCTTGGCTGTGTTACATCCCAGACATTCTTAGGGTAGACATGATATTGAGGACAGTTTCCTTGTGGCGTCTGGCTCATTGAGGATAGAAAACAGGTGGCTGACTTAACATCAGAGAATAGGTAGAAAGAAAGCAATTCCACTAGCCCATCTGGACCAATTGACAGTTTAGAATAGAATACAATAACAGATTTGGAAGGGACCTTGGAGGTCTTCTAGTCCAACCCCCTGCTCAGGCAGGAAACCCTATACCAACGATAGGTAACCTTTTTGCCGTCGCATGCCAAAAGCGGGGGGAGCGGGGTGGTGGGTCACGCTCGCTTGCGCCCACCCCCATAATTCAATGCGCCTCACGCAGGTGCATGCAACCCTCCCCCTGCGCGACCCCCGCTTTTGGCACACGATGGCACGGCGGGCGCAATAGGCCCGTTTTTCTCCCTCCCCAGGCTCCAGAGGCTTTCTTGGAACCTGGAGAAGGCGAAAATGGCCTTCCCCACCCCCCCAGAGGCTCTCTGGAGGCCGGAAACAACCCGTTTCCCAACTTCCGTTGGGACCAGAAGGCCCGTTTTTCACTCTCCCCAGGCTCCAGAGGCTTTCTTGGAGCCTGGGGAGAGTCTTTGACTTATAACGGTTTGTTTAGCGACCGTTTAAAGTTACAGTGGCTCTGAAAAAAGTGATTTACGACCGCTTTTCACACTTTCCTCCCCATGGTCATGTGACCAAAACTCAGCCGCTTGGCAACTGACTCCTATTTATGACGGTTGCAGTGCCCTGGGGTCATGTGATCCCCTTTTACGACTGCTTGACAAGCAAAGTCAATGGGGAAACCGGATTCACTTAACAACCATGTTGCTAACTTAACAACTGCAGTGGTTCACTTAACAACCAGTGGCAAGAAAGGTCGTAAAATGGGGGCGAAACTCACTTCACCACTCTTGCACTTAGCAACAGAAAATTCGGGCTGAATTGTGGTCGTCATAAGTCGAGGATTACCTGTACAGGACTACACATATGCCAGCTCTCCTGACATTCCAGTACAGTAGTCCTCAACGTACGACCACAATTGAGCCCAGAATTTAAGTCGCTAAAAGAACAAATTTCTCATTTTAGCGACTTAAAATCTGGGCTCAACTGCGGTCGTAAATTGAGGACTAGTGCACTGGAATGTCAGGAGAGCT